TGGAGAGGGCACGAGGTTGCGGCTCATATTGGGTAGGTAACGAGTGGCGGGGGCTTGCTTGCGCCGCTAACACCCTGCGCTGTAATTGGCTGGCTGAGAGGGATGAGGGTCATTAGGTATAGGTGACGGTCTCGGCCCCTTCACCACACGAGCTCAGATTAGGCGAGCTAGATGTATGCGCCTCTACACGTTTCCAGCTTTTCAGAGCCCATCACGGACTTCTGGGAGATACTCGCCTGAATTGTAACTCGTGCTGTGGGATTGAGTGTGGCTATTGAGTGGTTAGTGAGAAGGGATCACTTGTGGGAGGATCATTTCTGCCGTGAAAAAATATGAGTTCTAAAAGCCTTTTCCTCGAGCCTTATTTAAAGGGCTTATATTATGCTGTTTTCGCTTTGTTACATTGTTGTTTCCTCATCAAAAGTACACTTAGTTTTGTGTTTTGGTTCATTCACACATATTTAACACAAACACTGCAGATTTAGGCAGAGTTCTTTTCTCAAACTCCACCTTGTGATGTCATGTGGCAATACAGGAAGTGCTCCACTGTGTTTTCTTTTTGAACTCCTTACACCATCACCAGAATCATTTATAATTGCCAGTTTCTGCTAAACAAAAGGTAAAAGTAGCTGTTAACTTGACATCTCAAGGTGGAACAGAGCATTTTGGTAAACAGACTAATAATAAAGGGTTACTCCAACATGTGTGAATGAAATAAGACACAACTCTTGGTATGTTTCTGATGATGTAACAACATTATTACATGGCTTAAAGTTCACAAGTGTCAATTGTATGTAATATAGGACCTTTAAAGGTGCTCTATGTAACTTTTCTGGTGTATGATCACCACCAACTCTTCTTCATGGAGATTTTATTATGTCCTTGTGTTCCACTGTATTGGGTCTTCTATGTTGAACATTCATAATAACATACTTAAAGGGACAGTCTAGAATTTTGGACATATGACCTCATTTTCTAGTGAGCCAGAGTGTTGGAGACGTGTGGAGACACTTTTTAAAATATTTCATCCAGTCCTTGTATTTGCAGAGGTCTCTGGTGCTAGGTTAGCACATGTCAATGGCCATAGTTAGCCTGCCACTAAAAACAGTCTTATTCACTCCACAAAACACATGAAGCAAATCTATTATTACATTAGACTCTTGATGTAAATGTCTGTGTTGATAGAATAATGTTTGAAATAAAACTAACCTTGCATCACATGTTCGTAAGATAGGTGCTAGGTGATATCAGTCCGCCACTGCCAAGCTTTCTATCAGGAAGTACAACTCACTATTGCTGCTCAGACAGAAATCCTTCAAATGCAAGGTTGTTTTTTCTTCTAAAATTATTCTATCAACACAGACATTTACATCGACAGTCTGGTGTAATAATAGATTTGCTTCGGGTGTTTTGTGGAGTGCGTAAGGCTGTTTTTAGTGGCAGGCTAACTATGACCATTGACATGCACTAGCCTAGCACCAGCGACCTCTGCAAATACAAGGACTGGATGGAATATTTTAAAAAGTGTCTCCACATTTCTGGACTGTCCCTTTAATATGCACCATTCCAGGTAAACACATACATTGGAAAACCAGAAAAGCTACATAGTGCACCATCACTTGAATGGTAAAATAGTCTAAATAAGTAAATAACTTATAATATATGTTTTCTGTTTGAGAGAAGAACTCACCCTAAATATGCAGGGTTTGTGTGTTAATAAAACAAAACACAATTCCATTCATATTTGCTATAAGGAAATAAACATTATAATATAGATCAGAAAATTGCGTAACATGGGCCCTTTAATCCTCCACATTTGGCAACACTCAGAAGTTTGTTTCTAATTAAAGAGTTGGGGGACAGACGCTGGGCACCCACTGCACGACTGCTATTGTGTTTTGCCTAAAAGTACCTCTTAAACATGCAGTACATGTAGTCTACTCATGTTTTTTTGTTTTGTGTAATTAGCGTGAATTGTTTTCATTGTCACACACATGGTCTTTGTTGGCACGGAAACGAAACATTTAACTGACTGCGTTCGGTAATTTGCAGTTATGAAGTTTTGGACCTGATCCTATTTTGTTTTTGGCTACTTGTTCAGAGGCAAATTTTGTCTTTGTACATTCAGAAGACAATGACATATATTTATTTTCCATTTCAGCAAATACCTTTCAATACTCCATTTTATTTTTACGCTTTTGACTCCCCAATTAGTCATGCATTGTCTAGCGTGTCTTGGTCTGAACATTGGAGTACACAGTATTTCTCTGTTCCTAATTTTGAGCTTGATTTTGATGTGCGGCGCCTGTGTGGGTGTAGTGCACTCGGTCTATCTTCCTGTAACTTTTCTCTGAGCTTTAGGCGATAAAAAATGGTCCAAACTGAAAGGAGCTCCGAAGCTTGTGGGAGAGAGGATGAGGTGTGATGCATAGTTACAGTGGTGCGTACGAAAACTGCCTTTGAAATGTACAGTTATGTGGTCGGTGTTCATTGGGGGAGACAAAAATCTATTCACCTAAATATGTTAATATTTGAGTCACAGTACTGGTATTGATACTCTGATACTAGAACCACCATGTTTTTATGGTATACTGTATTTTTAGACCCCCTTTGTTGCACGGTGTTCAGTGGATTTCATATATTTTACTTGTAGAGATTGAACAATATGTTTTTTGTTTTTTTTCATGGCAGATGCTAATACTGATTTTTTTTTTTTTTTTTTTTTTTTTTACAATACAGAGAAACCAATGGCCAACAAGGTCTGATAATAGTTTTGGGCTGATGTGTATGGTGGATTTGGATTATTTTCTCCAAATTATGTCAAGAAAATTCAGTAAAAACTCACTTACAGCCCCCCCCTTTTTTACCATAAACCTATAAGAGAGATGTGTAATATGTTTTGTGCAGTTATCTTTTTGCTTTAATGCATATTCTTAAGGCAGCAGGTCAGCCAAAACTAAATATCAGCCTGTGTTGGAGGTTTAAAGGTGCATTGTGTAACTTTTCTGGTGGAGGGCCCTTCAGATACTTTTCTTCATGGAGATGTTATTGCTTTGTCTGAAATGTTTCACAGTATGATATTATAAATCTTTCTAACTTCATGGAGACCAAACCAGACCAAGTTACAGGCCAGACCTGTGGTAAGGCAACCCCACTTACAGTCAGAACGCCTGTTTTTCTGTTTTTGAGCTATTAAACAACCTGTAATTGAATAAATGTAAGGTAGGGCTGTTTTAATGTCTGTGGAATGTTCCAGGCAGAGCAGTGTCCACGTCCACAGAAATAAGCAGGTGACGGACCCCCAACCTAAAATTTGCATAATGTACCTTTAAAGCTGATAGTTGATAGCCAGGCTGGCGCCACATAGTGCCTCTGCTCAATTTCATTTCTCTCTAGTGACTAGGTCAGGAATTGGAATACAGTAGACGGTTTACAAGAACCCTGGAAGTGCAAGTCCAGGCACCAGCCAATCAGCGAAGAGCCATACATTCTGTGTTGGCAATGATTCCCGAGATTCAGGATTTAAAGTTGGAACTAAGAGAATATTTGGTGAATTTTTTCAAGAGGAAAGATGTTATTGCCCTTCTTCCTACGATATTTAGGAAAAGCTTAATATACCAGTTAGCCCCATTAGCGGTGCATTACATACATCACAACCTAATGCTGCGAGGTCAGATGGTTTCCACAAAGTGAAACTGGCTGATGAATCAAGCTAGATAGCTGATACACTAAAAAGTCCAAATGTTGGCCAAATATATCGACCAACCAATATATCTCTTGTTAATACTGAGTCAAAATTGATCAGTTCTTCCAGCACCTTAAAAGGCAACACTGTGCCTCTAAGTAGGCCTGGCACAATAAATACTATATTGACTTATCATTCAATACATGATGATTATGGAAAGATTGTGGGTGCTTTTTCTTTGTAAAAGTGGAAAAAAAAAAGTTATTTTTCTGCTCTGCGATGAAATTTGAGCTGAAGAGTGGTGAATTATGAACTTCTATGACTCATTATACTCAGATGTCTACTTTTAATTATCATATTTATAAGAAGTTCTGTTCACAGGATTTGAAATGATCCTCATTGGAGTCAGCCTGGTTCAGATCAATTCAAAGGCAGAGTAAACCAATCTGACATCTACCTGGTCTTTTCTTTGGTGAAGAGAGTTGGTAAATTACTTTGAATCATACTATTTCTTTTTAAAACGGAAAAAGCTTTTGGAGCAGCCAGTTGCTCTTGTTCTTCACAAACAGAAGCATTAGCAAAAGATCAGTCCAATATGGTTTCCATTTTGAATATTTTGGCTTAAAAACTGTACAGCTGCATCTCTAAACCATGAGAACGTGCCTATATAGAGCTGTCTAGATGGCTCTTAGGACTAAAGTAGAGTCCCACCACACCTATGTCTTCTGATATTTTGCTGCAATACAATTAATATAGTATTCATTTCATGTTCGCTTTATCTCATGGCTGTTAAAGGTCTTGTATTACACAAAAATTGCCTCATGTAAGCTTTTAGTCATGTTAGAATATTGTTGCCTCCTCAAAAACATGCCTGGAGTTGTTTTGTTTCATTCACACATGTTTGAGTATCCCTTTATTATTAGTCTGTCTACATCTCCAAAGCTCAAAATTCTCTTTTCCACCTTGTGATGCCATGAATTTGTAGTTTTTAAGTTAAGAGCTACCTTTTACCTTTAGTTCAGTAGAGACTGGCAGTTCCTGGACTGAAATTATCCAAATGATTCTAGTGAAAAATGCATGGAGTTTAAAAACCACAGTGGTGCACTTCCTGTATTACCACATGACATCACAAAGTCGAACAGAGTGTTTTTGGTTTGTGTGAAGAACACAACCTAAATATGCAGGGTTTGTGTGTTAAACTTGTGAATGAAAACGTAACTCCAGGTATGTTTGTGATGAGAAAATAACATTGTAACAGATCAGAAAATAATGTAATATGTGCCCTTTTATATGTATGTTGTTTTTTTTTTTTCAGGACTTTAAAGCTGGTCTCGGTATCGCTGAAGTAGAACTGACAGCTGCCCATATAAAGGACCTGGATCGAAGGAGCTTTGAGATCAACACGCCCTTCAAAAACTTTTGGTACGTACTGTGCACTCAATATTTTCATTAACTGAAGATGTAATTGTCAACACAGGGAGTTGGTAGATAATTTTACTTGTTAAGTGAAATTTACTGTCAAGGGAAATTTACTCGAATCGTAAATAAATCAAAATCAAATCTAATAAAACTTTCTTAATTCAATTTTAAAGGTGCATTGTGTAACTTTTCTGGTGGAGCGTCTGTCAAATGCTTTTCTCTCTGGAAATGTTATTGCTTTGTCTGGAATGTTTCACAGTATGGTATTAAACTTTTCTATCTTCATGGAGATCAAACCAGACCAAGTTACAGGTCAGATTTGTGTAGAGGCAACCCTGCTCAGTCAGTCCCTTTTTTTTATTTCTGAGCTATAAAACCACCTGTAATTGAATAAATGTGAGGTAGAAAACTGTCATACTGTGGAATATTCCAGGCAGAGCAATGACAAAAAATGACATTGTGCACCTTTAAGTATAGCAAAATTTATTCGTAGTTTTTCCAGTGCAGGCAGGCTTGTAGTCACCTCGGAAATTCCTTCGTAACAATGAGTCTCTGGTGAGTTTGGATGTGTGTGGACCAGCCTCTTCAGGTCAGTGCTGTCAGGGCGAATAGGGCGCAGCGTTGAAATCACTAACTATCAATTAGAGGCTGTTATTGAGGCTCCCCAGGTGTTCCACGCAGATACGGGGGCCTCGGTGGGACACAAAGCTTTGAGGTGACATTGGTCCCCGTGGGCTCTGGATCGATGAGTGTAGCTCTTGTTTGTGCTGTAATGGCCCATTTAGAATACAAGCGTCACCGCGGCCTGGACAATGCCGCACACTTTGGCTGCTTGTGCTTCTTGGCTGTTTTCTTTTTGGTTAAAGATTTTCCCCTCATTCCTCCACCTGTCTGCTGTATGTCCCCATCGATCTGTTTGCGTCAGATGCCGTAACGGGCCCCGGCGTTGGGCAGATTTGTTAATGCACAGGATGTAATTGGCATTCTCTGTGCTGCAAAAAAAGACGTGCAATTGAAATGAGCTCGAGTCTTCTGAATTGTTTTGATGAGGCGATTGTTGTGACTGCCTCTGTGTATGTATGTGTGTATGTGTGTATTTGCGTGTGCGTGCGTGTGTGTGCCTGTGGCTGTGTGTGTCAAATCGATTGCAGTCTCTGGGAGCGTTCTCTACCTGCTCAAGGTGGGGATTAGTGCGAAACTCATCTAATCACTTTAAGCTGTGGAGACTCACTTTGGCTTTTCTATTGTTTTGCTGCCATTAAACGGACAGAGCTGTGAGTCCACTGCGGCTGACACAATAGCCCACTTTATGAGGAGATGGAAGTCAAAGGGAGAAGGCTGCAGTCGGAGAAAGCTAAAGTTAGCGCGTGTGATCAGAAAGCACTCCCTCTAAAGTAAAGCCACGGCTAAACGCCTCGCTCAAGGGCATACTAAAGAAAATCTCTGTTCATCTTGTTGTCAGTTTGTTTGTCTTTTCAAACTTTCACAGGCAGACATATTTCTGCTTTCAACTGAAAATTCATTTTAATAACAAACCCAAAGTCAAGGTCCTGTCTGGATTTTAAACATGTGGGCTGTTGTGCATGTGTCAGGCTTTTGAATACAAACAGCCCCACTTTGACTCATGGATACAAACAATGAAAAGCTATAATATCCACTCCACTAATTCCGTGTCCTATAGCTGGGTTTTGGATGACATCACACCATTATATAGGCCAATATTAAAGGTGTATTGTGTAACTTTTCTGGTGGAGGGTCCGTCAAAATATTTACTTCATGGAGAATGATATTAAACCTTTCTGTCTTCATGGAGACCAAACCAGACCAAGTTAGAGGTCAAATCAGTCAGAATGCCTGTTTTTCTAGGGATTTTTGAGCTATAAAACCACCTGTGATTTAATAAATGGTAGAGCTGTTTAATGTCATACTGTGGAACATTCCAGACAGTTACACAGTGCACCTTTAAGGCACATAAATGGTAGTTCTCACTGGTGAAGTCGCCTTCAGTGACTGCCTCTCCACAGATTTGACCTGTAACTTGGTCTAGTTTGGTCTCTATGAAGGTAGAAAGGTGATAAGTAATGCCACACTGTGAAACATTCCAGACAAAGTAATAACATTTCCATGGAGAAAAAAGCATTTGACAAACCCTCCACCAGAAAAGTTACACCTTTTAGTGGGAGTGTCCCATTTATTTCAGGGCACTCAAACTATTCACTCATTTATTAACTACAATACACTTGAAGGGAAGTAAGAAATGCCATCCACTCTGCCACTCTTGATTAAAGCTTTTAGTGAGCATCAAATAATATTATGTTCGATTGGCAGCTCCACTTAATCTCACAGGCTCATTTGAGAGTAGAGTGCCTGTTAAAGGGGTCATATTATGCTATTTTTAGATATTTAGTTTTGAACAAAAGCATCACTAGTAGTCATCATTTTATGTTTTGTTCATTGTAAACTGCAATTTTCATCCTAAAATGATTATTGTGAGCTATTTGTCATGTTATAATGCTGTTATTTTATCAAAAACATACCCAGAGTCATACTTTGTTTCATTCACAGATGTTTGAGTAAACCCGTATTAATAGTTTGTCTACATTACCAAAGATCAAAATGTTCTGTTCCACCAAGTAGAGATTGGAAAGTGCTGAAATTATCTCAATGATTCTAGAGTTTAAAAACACAGTGGAGCACTTCCTGTACCATATAACATCACAAGGTGGGAGTGTTTTCTGTTTGAGAGAAGAACTCAGCCTAAATACGCAGGGTTTGTGTGTTAAACGTGTGAATAAAAATGGGTACAGTGTGTTTTTGTAGCACCGACATCATAACATGGATCAGAAAACAGTGTAATAGGGGAAAACTGAAAATGTTTGTCTAAGTCTAATACTAGCTGGCTTGTGATTATGTATGAGACTTGTTTAGCAGTGCAAAAAATCAACTCACCTGTTGTAGTTCTAACTAAGGGCCTGTTTACACGAGAACGCTTGCAGGTAAAAACAACAAAATATTTTATCGGAAGTGCCTTTCGTTTAGACAGTGACAGCGTTTTTGGAGCTTAAAGGGATAGTTCGGGTTTTTTGACATGAATCTGTATGTCATCCCCGTGAGCAGTGTCGTGCATCCACACTGACTTACCCCCGAAAACGTCCGGTGAGCCGAGATCCTGTCCGTTTTCGGTACTGACGAAAGTAGTCCGGCAAGTTGGCTGGGGACATTAAAATAAAGCATTTTTCTTCTCAAAACAATATGTGTTCAAAAGAGTGATACATTTGCATCACAGAACCATCGTCCTCAAAAAAAGTCAGACCTCATAATAGCTTGGCACTATTTTCTTTTCGTTCGTATCACTGCGCAAAAATCTGAAACCACCCTCCAGAGTGGTTGAATACGCTCCGCTGTAGCCTTTCCGTCTACACTGCCCAAGACGCAAAATTCTAGTCAGATCTGCTCGTGTACGTGTTTACGTCATATACATCACCACCTATCCGCCTGGCTTGCTTACCCAATCGATTTCCACACACTTTTGCGTCACCGTATGCACACAAATGTCCTCCTGAAAGTGTTAGTCTAAACACAGACTAAAAAGTGAAGACGCAACACCACTTCTGTGTCTTCTGTTCAGACAGTCATCATATAAACGTAGCCTGAGTCAGCTTTTTCTAGTCAGATTGTGTTCAAATAAAGCTCGAATTAACAGCCCAGACAGAGCAGTGCTTACAGTTAGCATCACAGCACTCCCCCAGGAAATGTTGGTGACTTCATTTGGAAAGTATCAACACAGGAATACTCAAACGTGCATGAATCAGTTGAAATAGAACTTTGAGTGAATAACAGAAGATGCTTATAGCAAGGTTAAAGTCTTGTACCAGTCGATTTTGCACAATGTGTCTCCTTTAACAGTGACTTGCCCCACACATGCACACGCTTCGGGGACCTGCCTCATGCCTTCACCTGCTCCTCTGCGCTTTGGGGCCCCATGCAAACTCAGTGAGAGCAGTCATCTCTTTAGACAGGCCCTGGGCAGTAGCCGGTAGGCACAAAACATCTGCCCCCAATCAACCTATTGATCCGGGCCAGGCCACATCCTCACCTCCAGGCAAATATCCCCTCCGCTCCTTCTCTCCTCTTCTTCCTCTCACCTCCTCTTCTTCACTTCTTCTCTCTGGCTTACTTTACACTGCTGTTCACGTTGCCATGGAGACTGGTGGTCCCATTACTTCTAGCTAAGTGCCTTCCTAGGTCTACATTTTTTTAACTCCTAATTTTATACCACTGTCGATCAGTCTGTCTGGCTTGTCTTTTACACTCTCACTAAATAGCTTGTTAAATTCACCTAGTTAGCTAATTTTAGACACATTCACTGCATATAAAGAGTTGGGTGTAGTTAAAACACTATTGGCAGCATCAGCAACTTCAGTCTGCCTCTGCACACTGTCTCCAGTGCTCATTAGTTTGTAATGGACACAGCACATGTCTGTGTTTAAGCTGTTCTCTCACTCCGTACAGGGGGAGACAGCTGAATGGCAGACAGTGACTAATGGACGTGCAAGCCTAATATGAATCCTGTATTAAACTGTTGAAATAAGCAGAGATGGGTAGGAAATTGTGCTTCTTGAAGTAGATAGAGGATGCCATACTTTTACTTCTACTTGAGTAATATTGTGTAACAGTATTCTTTCTTAAATAAAAGTTTTGGCTTCTCAACTCCGCACCCTTTCTTAAATCTGCCCTTAAGACATATTTCTTTGCTTTGACATTTAATACAATTTAAAGGTTCTATATTACACAAAATTGCTTCTTGTGAGAAACACTTTGGTAAGCCTTTGTTGTAAATGTGCTATAGAAATAAAATTGACATTGACATTTCCACTGTGAGTCGACAAGTGACAAAAGCTTTATGTCGACAAAATATGAAATTATGTGAACATTTGTGTTCTCTGCACCGCTTCTTATATGATTTAGAAGTTTTCATTTCTGTCGTTTATTGCTTTTTGTGCATTATTTTACTTTAAATTAAAGTTAAATAATGCACAATTAAAGCATGTTAAATGCTCTATATTAACCAAAATTGACTCTTGTGAGCTTTAAGCCATGTGAGAATGTTATTACCTCATCAAAAATATACCCAGAGTTGTGTTTTGTTTTATTCACACTTACACGTTTGAGTCATCCTGCTGTATTAGTCTGTCTACATTGCCAAAGCTCAAAATGCTCTGTTCTGCCTAGTGATGGGTCCATGTACCATCCGTTCTTTTGAATTTCAATTAAGAACGAAAAACAATAAAATGGGAAAACAGTTTATTTCATTATTTTTCATTATTCCGTTTTAGTGTCAAACTGAAAAAAACTGATTTTGACTTGAATTCCCAATATTTAATTTACAGTTTACTACAAATAACACCAATCAAAAAACAGTCTTGATGCCTATTTTAATTTTGATATTTTATTCTCTCTGGTTTATATGCTCCGGAAGTTATACTGCTTAGAGCGTCGCATGTGAATTCAGTGTCAACCATTGATGTATAATAAAAAACAATTTTTGTTATACTTCTATGGTGTCAACTGAACAAAGTTTATCGCCTCGCTGCTACCTCTTTCTCGTCATGGAGTTCAACAATTACTTTCTAAGATGCGAAAGTAAACACGTCGCTATAAAAGAAGATGTCCAAAAAAGTCCTTCTAGCAGCAGTACCGGAGAGAATAAAATATCCAAATTAAAATAGGCACTGAGACTGTTTATTGATTGATGTTATTTGAAATAAACTTTAAATTAAATATTGGAAATACAGGTCAAAATCTGTATTTTTATTTATTTATTTATTTATTTTTATTTTTTATTTTTTATTTTATTTTGACACTGAATAAAACTTCTGGAAATAAGTCATGAAATATTTGACTTTCCTGAGAAAATTCAGCTTTTTGAATGAGTTAATGTAATGTGTCTGTAGTTTTTATCATATTACCTTCAATTGTATACATATTATTGTGAAGAAAAAATAAATTTCTCTTCTGTCTATTGAGTCTGTGAGTAGATTATTATTAATAGCCCTTTTCTGTCTTCACTTTTCAACTTTTCAACTACTCATTCTAAAATATCTTCAGAAAGTGTCGTGCATTAGCACAATAGATTTGGGTAGAGTGAGTGGAGAGTGGAGACAGATTGATTTACCTGGCCCTCCACTCAGGACCTAACCTCTCTATCAATTTCATCAAGTTTATTGCAATCACACTTCACAGTGCCCCTCCCCTAAAAAAAAAAAGTAGTCCGCCCTTCCACAACCCTGCCAAACGCTACTGTGCTGTTTAATTGCTCGCTCAAATTAAATCGATAGCAGTGAGGCATTTTGTCATTGCGGTCTGTGTGTGTGTGTGTGTGTGTGTGTGTGTGTGCATGTGTGTGCATGTGTGTGTGTACTAAAAATCAATTGTTGTAGCTTCACAGCAGAGTCGGAGAAGGAGAAAGAGGGGTGGATTGAAGCAGTCCAGGAATCGATCTCCGAGACACTTTCCGACTACGAAGTGGCGGAGAAGATCTGGTTCAACGAGGCCAACCGGAGCTGCGCAGACTGCAGGGCGCCGCAGCCGGAGTGGGCGTCGGTCAACCTGGGCGTGGTCATCTGTAAGAAGTGTGCAGGTGAGGGGCACTTGGGTTGCTAGGAGACAAAGAGTTCATGCCCTTGCTTACTCGTAGCTGTACTTCCCACTTACTGACTGTCCAGATCGAAGAGAGCAACAGGTCAGAATAACTTTGCTAAATGGGGTCATTTGGGATTTTGAACATTACTTGAACGTTGGAGGTGGTTTTAATCCCAAAGGCGTTAAAATGGCTGAAATGTTTTACCAGTTTAAATATCTTGCAGTCCAGTGAAAAAGTACATGTTTTGCAGATGGTAGCTTGACTTGCTCTGGGGAAGATTTGTTTTTGTTTTTTTCATGTAACTTTTCTGGTGGATGGTTCGCTACATGCTCATTTCCATGACAATCAGGTGGCAAGCCCTAGCCAAGCTGGCACCACCTAGTGCCTCTGCTCAATCTCATTTCTCTCCAGCAACTAGGTCAGGAATCAGAATACACTAGATTGTTTGCAAAAACCCCGGAAGTGCGAATTCGGGCACCAGCCAATCAGCGAAGAGCCATACATTCTGTGCTGGCAACGACTTCCGACATCTAGGATTTAAAGCCGGAACAAAGAGAATGTTTGGTGAATTTTATCAACGGGAAAGACGTTATTTCCCTTCTTTCTATGGGATTTGGGAAAAGCTTAATATACCCTTTAGGCTCGTTAGCGGTGCATTGCATACGTCATGACCCAATAGCAGCGATTGGTTAAATGAAAAAAAGTACCCACCTACCGTCAAGCGAACGAATCCTAATGCTGCGAGGACATACTGTTTCTACGAAGTGAAACTGGCTGATGAATCAGGCTAGTACCTCTTTAATGCGTTTACTTTTTTGCTTACATTGACCTCCTGTACCATCATGCAGGTAACTTTGTGTAGTAGTTGGAGACTTTTGACCTCAAGGCCCAGTTAGACAGATATCTTTAAGTTGTTTTTTTTTTCATTCTAGATTGATACACTGCAAATTTCTCTGATCAGGTCAAGATTTTAAAAGTTATATCAGGTTATTCATCTTGTTTTCAGACGTATTATCTCCTTACTAGATCTGAAACTGCTTAATTCTAGTCTAGAGGTAGTTTATTTTAAGACAACTTGTCAAGTAAAATTATCTTGCTGCATGGACAGATAATTTCACTACTTTTAAGTCATTTTCAAGTTTATATCTTACATTTTGGACAGGCTTTTCTGCAGTATAATGACTAGAACGAACATGAGCGAGGTGATGATCAAATAGAACGTGTAGAGATAATTTCTATTTGTTTCTATTTTTAAGTCTAGTTAAAACTAATAATAGGACCTTTGAAAATTTGAGCATGATTAAGCAGCATACACGGTGCACTGTTGATTTGTGTGTGTGTGAGACGATGTCCGTTTGTCCCTGTGCGAGTCTGTGTCTAACCCAGGGCCACTTTCAGAATAAGATCTCAGGTGATAAGACACTTATGGGAGCTGGCATCGGGCCCTAGACTCCCTGTAATCTGTTGGGTAAAGCTGGACGCTCAGATGAAATGACAACAAAGATTAGGCTCCAGGCGGGAACTTGGGGGATCCCGAACAACTCTTTGACCCGCTAAACGTGATTATGGAGCAGTGGCCGTCATGCTAGCCGCTGCCGGATATGTATGATTCTTTTTACATGCTGCTACACATACGCAATCCGCTCCACTTTTTTTCTTCAGGTCTGAGATTTCTCCTGGAGCTTTAATGCGATTCTCCACCTCACCTCTCCAAAGTCCATGTAATTGGTACGCATCAGATATCACACATCCTTTTTTTTCAAACCGCTCTAAATGATTTCATTTGCAGGGCTGTTTAATATTACATTTTGTCGACACACAGAGACATGGAGGGAGCGAGGGAGAGACAGTGAATATCTGCAACTAAGAAAGCTGTCCTCACTCTCCATTCTACGCTTCTTAAATTAGGCGGTGGTCCATTTCGAATACCAACGACTGACTGGGCTTTTAATTAGCGCGCTCGTGTCACGTTCAATAAAGAAAAATGCTGAACAAGAAGAAGAGGAGTGGAGTAATGAGAGGGCTAATGCTGAAAATGATCTAAGATGGACTTTCCTCTTTTCGTTTAAGACATAGTGAATTTTAATGACCCTTACTTTGGCTCTATAGAGAGGAGGGCTACTGTAGTGCTTTCTTCATCATCAAATATCGTCTTTATATCATATTGAAACACACTTTATTTAATGAGATTGACTGTTTGCCTGTAATTAGGAAAAATCTATGCCGCTTATAACCACCCATATAAGAGAAACCAGCATACACAATCGCATTAGAGCATGACCCACTTTTGATTATCGCCATTGACGACCAGAAGTATCCCACAAGAGTGTTAGGGATGTTTTGACCCAGTTAAACAGTGGCCACCATGGTTTGTGCTGTAAAATACTTCAGAATAGCATTTATATACTTAAGTATGTATTTTTATTAAATTTAAAGGTTCTGTATTACGCAAAATTGACTCTTGTGAGCTTTAAGTCATGTTAGAATGTCGTGCCTCCTCAAAAGCATATTTAGAGTTGTGTTTTGTTTCATTCACACATGTTTCAGTAACCCTTTATTATTAGTCTGTCTGCATCTGGGTCCAGTCAAGCGGTAACGGAGGGAAACAGGGGCAGATTTTTTACATTCAAATAGCTCTTATTCAGAAACTAGTGGGACTATTGAAATAAGTAAGGTATTAGAATTCAGGAAAAAGTTAGCACTCCAACAGGGTAAAGTTAAACCTAAAACTCATGTCTGTAACAGAGGGAGTGAAATATGCTGCACTTTTTGGGCAATAAATCCAAACAGCGATAACTATCGGTTCTCACTTACATATCCTTAACAAACTGGTTTGAATGAGAGATAGTGCTCCAATTTTTAAGATTCTTTTTGACAGTTTTACATGTTTTTTTTACTTCCACCCAGATAATAAGTATTCAGTGACAATGACATACTCTATTTTTGCTACAGAACACTGAAATCATAAAAATAAACCTGTTGTTTTTCTCAAAAGCTGGTCCACTTTTATACACAACTGAGGTCCCAGACTCCTAATGTGAAGGCAAAAAAAAAAAAAAAAACGTCCCCAAACCCAACACGGAGACGTCTGCTGGCAACAGTTGCTATGGCGACTCCCAAATGCAGAGCTCAATGCCACAGTTTTACTTCTCTCATCACACGGGCGGGACTGAGAGCCGGAGGAGTCAATGGGACAGTTTTTAATTGGAGGTGAAGACCTTGGAGGTTTTGGGTAATTTTATTTTTTTGAATGAACCACCTCCATATTTTTACCCTTTGTTGTCTTGTTCTTTAAGCTGTCTGTAAAAGAGGACACTGGACAAACTGGTCTCCATCGTGGACATTAGATTATAGAGGAACAGAGGAGCTCATTCTCCAACAGGCTCCAAAAACTGCTCAAAAATGTGCAATGTGCAAAAATATCAAAATGACGTGATACTAAATTTGCCGATACAGTATTGTTATCATGGACTGCTGTATTGATATATTGGCAAGATAATTTTTTGGTATCTTTCAGCTAGTTTTTTTTGTAACTGCACTAGGCAGCTTGTTTTGCAATATACTTGACATATTTACTCTTTTAACGATTAAAATAAATGTATTTTGTATGAACTTTGCACAAGTATTGTTAAAATGTATTCTTCAAAAAACAGCACCATATTACAGAGTATCAATATATCGGTTATCACATGTATCGCCTTATCGTGATAACATCATATTGTGAGCCATATAGCAAGTATCGTATTGAATCATTATTGTCGAAGTTTTCAACTTGTCCAAGAAAGGGTGGAAGTATGATTTCAAAAGAGAACTAAGGCTACGTTCAGACTGTAGGGCTTAACACTCAATTCGGATTATTTTGTGAAATCCAATGTTTTTGCGAGGTCTTTCACATTTCCAATTAAATGTAACTTGTATGTGAACTCCAGGGTGAACATTAAACGGCCCAAAAATGTCCCGCATGCACACTGGAGGACACAACGACGTCAACCACAGGGAGCGTGCTCTGTGTTTACGGAAGTTGTCCAAACATGGATGCATTGAGCACCTGGCGATTTTAAAGTTCCTCTTGTATCGGAGCCAGAACATGTACAAGTTACTTGTTTTAAGGAGGAGATTGAGAAGGAGAAGGACGAGGTTTTTGGCCCTGGCATTTTGCGGGACAGTGGCAGCAATGACCGTTAGAAGGAACGTGTGGATATGGATACATAGTCAAGAGTGGTGAGTGGCCTACTTCAGCGCAGAATAGTGACGTTTGTGGCTTGTTGATAACGTGTAGGTCGGATGAATGCGCTTTGGCGGTTCAGACTGAATTCGCATATCAAAAGATCGGATATGTATCAGTTTTAGGACCACATATCGAAGTGGCCTGGGTTGCATTTGAAAAAATCTGATCTATGTCGTTCAGACTGTCATTAAAAGATCAGATACAGGTCACATAGAGGCCAAAAAATCGGATTTGGGTCACTTCAGGCTGCAGTCTGAACGTAGCCATAGTATGATCTTTGAGTGTCCAACCCCCTGGACTGTGCTTCCAGAGGAGGTTTATAAAGCAAGTGGTGAGACTATGAAGAGCAGTTAGTCAGCAGTATGCCACAATTTAGATAGTAGTAGGCCATTGGTGTGCCAAGGGAAAATCATGGTGTAAATATAGCTTTTGTGTGTCAATGTTAAACTGAAATTCTCTTACAATGATGAGGGACCCTGTGATTCCAAGCCCTGCTCCATACAACTGTACAAACATGGGTAACCCTATGCCCTGTCAATCATCATTTCATCTTTACACTGTTTCTACTTAACCACTTCTTATTTATAGCTGAGATATATTTGTATTAGTATATTTCTATATTTTATTTTTACTTGTACATACATTTATATAATTACGCCTTATTTGACTCTGGTCTCTTGCTATTTTTGCTTCTTATTTTGAATTTAGTATTACCATTTATATCAGTGCTTTTTGTTATTATAATATGATTTGTGTGTGATTTGTGAGCTCCAGTGTCCAAATAATCTCCCTTGAGGATCAATAAAGTTTGTCTAAATCTAAGTCTAACAGCAGCTAGCATGCTAACTCACACTTCCTGATAATTGGACAGACAGAGCTGCTTGTAGAGATACAGGCCCATAAACTTCTGAGCCCCTCTATTTTCTACACATCTGCATTGTTCCTACACATTCTAATTTTCCTTGTGGATTAATAAAGTTCGTCTTAGTCTAAAAAAGGGAAGATATTTACAGCAGGCTATATATACTAGCATGTGAAGTTTTCCTTGCGTTGTCAGGAGCATGTGCACATTTTTAGCTTCATTACCTTTACACAAGTGAAAATGGTCCTGGGGCGCGTTATGCCTCGAGTGGATGGAGCAAAAACAGCAGGAGAGGTATATTTTTCACTTGTTCACCGGCAAAAGTGACAGCATCTGCCTCTTCAGAACCCCGCGCCAAGTGGGAGATCTCTGCTCCAATACTGAAAGTCTGCTGTTGTCCCTTTTACTTTTGGGATTAGAGGAACCTGATTTAAACACCCCATAATCCATCAGTGGTTGACATTTTAATGCCGGTTTCATGCACAATTATATGACTACAGGGTGAGTGGGGAACCCTGCTATTTATAGTGTCACCTACAGCATTGCAGCGTGAAGCTCAAAGGGAGAATTGTACAGAAAGGCACTGCAAAATATAGGGCAGGTGGAGTTGCTGTTATGACCACAATCAGTGCATATAACATCAGGCTTAAAGGTGTATTGTGTAACTTTGTGGTTGGACGCCTATCGCCTTCTTGTTTCTATGGATATGTCAGTGCTCTGCCTGTAATGTTCCACAATATGACATTAAACAGCTCTGCCTTATATGTATTCAATTACAGGTGGTTTTATTGCTCAAAAAACACCAAGAAAAACAAGAATTCTGACTGTGAGCGGATTTGCCTCTCCATAGATCTGACCTGTCTGGAGCCCAAAGTTTGGTCTCCATGATGCTAAAAAGGTTTAATGCCATAATTTGCAACATTCCAGACAAAGCAATAACATTTCCATGGAGAAAAACAGGTGGCGAACGCAACACCAAAAAAGTTGCACAGTGCACCTTTTAAGGAGCCCATATTGTGTTATTTTTAAAATTTATGTTATAATGTTGTTTCCTCATCACAAACACACCTTTTTTCCCACATGTTTAACTCAAAAACTGTGCAAATTTAGATAAAGTTCTCTCAAACTGAAAACACTCTATTCCACCTTGTGATGTCATGTGGTAATACAAGAAGTGCTCCACTGTTTTTCAACTCCATACACCTTTACGAGAATCATTTGGATGATTTCTTCTCTGGAATTGACAATGTCTATTGAACAAAAGGTAAAAAGTAACAGATAACTTGAAAACTAGCACATCATGACATCACGAGGGGCAATAGAGCATTTTGAGCTTTGGAAATGTAGAAGGCCTAAAAATGTGTGAATGAAACAAAACACAGGTGTGTTTTTGATGAGGTAACAGCATTATAACATGACTAAAAGCTCACAAGAGGCAATTTTGCATCATATAAGACCTTTAACAAGAGCTGAACATGTCTGGATAAGCAGTGCCTTAAAAGGTCCTGACTTAATTTACATTTTTACATGTAGTTTAATTTAATCTATTACTCCTAATTGGGATTGGGACCTAATTGGGCTTTGATTTGTGGTGGTGGAATGACTCTTCTTTGTTGGATTGTCAACTATCTGAAAATCAAAATTCTTTCCACATGATTGATCATTATTTAGTTTTTTTTTTTTGTCAAATTAAATTGTCTTTTAAAAATAATTTCCTAAGATAAAAACACACACTTTTCATCTTTGGCCCCCCACACAAAGAAAGTCAAATTTCTTCCTCCAAAATTTGAACTCTGATTCAAACCACATGTTTTTCTTTTACTGCGGATATCTCGATTAAAAAACTTCAAGCGGACCATTGATGATTGAAAATGACAAAAGCTGGTTCTCAATTAAAATTCTATTAATTGCACAGCCTTAATTACAACTACCCTTTTAAACCAATCGCAACTAAAAAAAAAAAAATCACCACAAATGTACCTTGAAGGGCTAGTATTACTCTATTTTCTGATCTTTCTACAATATATGTCAGACATGTCAAACTCAGGACTGGGGGCCAAATTTGGCCTGCGATATATTTATATTTGCCCCGTTAGATCATATCAAATATGTATTAGAGCTGGTCCGTGGGCTACAAATAGGCCATAGAGACATTATTTATTTAAAATGTTATTATTTTATATTATTCTTGTTCTGGATTCAGTGTTTAAGCAAAACTTATTAAACATTTATTTTAATAAGAAAATATTTAACATTACATATCTCGAAAGAAGAGAAAACATGCAAATGTTGCTGAAATTTTTTCAATAAATATTTAGTTTGTCCCAGTGACTTAGTCCCAGTTTTTAATTTTGGCGCTCTGTGAATTTGAGTTTGACACCCGTGATCTATGTTATGTTGTTTCCTCATCACAAACGTACTCAGTTGTGTCATGTTTCATTCACACGTTTAACACCCAAATCACACAGTATTTGTGTTTGAAACATGACATATAGGCTGAATTTAGGCTGAATTCTTCTTTCAAATCTGGTAATACAGAAAGTACTTCACTGTGTTTTTAAATGCCATGCACCTTCACTAGAATCATTTGAATCATTTCAGCTCTGGAATTTCGAATCTCTACTGTACTCAAGCTAAAAAGTAGCCATTGACTTGAAAACTACTGCTTCATGACATCACAAGATGGAACAGAGCATTTTGAGCTTTAGAGATATAGACAAACTAATAAACCAGGATTACACAAATGTGTGAATGAAACAAAACACAACTCCAGGTATGTTTTTGAAGAAATAACAGCATTATAACAAGGCTTAAATCTCACAAGAGTACAGTTTGTGTAATATAGGACCTTTTAAAAATGAACTGCAGCATATCCTCACTGAACATCTGTCACATTTGCACATATATGCCTTGATTCTCTCTTATATATTATAGATGTCTGACCTGTCTCTGGCCATAAGCACCCCAAGCAGCCCCCCTCTCACCCAAATAAACAGGCCGACCAGCAAACACAATGAATTACTCATGATTCATTAGCAATTAATAGGCCTCGTTCTGTGCTTTCATTTCCAATTAGGGGGAGCTGAAGGGACTGAGCGCGTCTGTTGTGAAAGTCACGCTCCGATTCTCCGTCTCCTAACTGCCTGCTGCTTTATTATTTATTCCATCATTGGCATTTAGAGTGCGTTTGCTGGTACACTAAGGAGATGTTCGGGGAAATTACGTATGTCTTAATTTGTGTAAAAGTGCAGAGGCTGTTTTTAAATGCGTCAAATGTGTTTCCGTTTGTGTTTCAGGGCAGCACCGCTCCCTCGGCCCCAGTATATCCAAGGTCCGCAGCGTGAAACTGGACAGCAGCATCTGGAGTAATGAGCTGGTGGAGGTATTCTCTTTGATAATTGTTGTGAAGCTTGGTCTGGGTACCTAATGAATTTGGCACCTGAACCGTACTTTTTTTTTTTTTTCAATTGTATTAATCATTACATAGATCAGGAGTTGGAAGACCAGAGGAATGTGCAGCAAAATTGTCAGATAGAAGTCAGATTTTTTGCTGCACTCGTAAGTGCTGTGCGCTCGATGCCGTAGCTCAGAGCAGAGGTGATTGACAGCAGCTTCTGTAGTGTCCATATTTATTTAACCTCTTCCCACTCACTGGCCACCGCGGTTTTGGGGGCTTTACCCATGTTTGCGTGTGTGGAGGAGATATGGAGGAGGAGAGATAGGTGGGTGAGAGGTAGGTGGAGGAGGAGAGATGGAGGAGGAGGAGAGGTAGGTGGAGGAGGAGGGATGGGTGGAGGAGGAGAGATAGGCAGAGGAGAGGTAAGATGGGTGGAGGAGTGGTGAGTTGAGGAGAGATGGATAGGAGCTAGATGGGCGGAGGGGAGATGGACGAAGGGGAGGTGGGCGGAGGAGAGATGGGCATTGCAGAGATGGTTGCAGGAGAGATAGGCGGAAGAGAGATGGGCAGGGGGAGGAGCAATGGGTGGAGGAGAGATGGGCGGAGGGGAGATGGGCGGAGGGGAGATGGGTGGAGGAGAGATTCACGGAGGAGAGATGGCCATTGCAGAGATGGGCGGAGGAGAGATGGGCAGAAGAGAGATAGGCAGAGGTGAAATGAGCGTTGGAGAGCGGGGTGGAGGAGAGGAAAGATGAGCGGAAGAGCAGTGGGTGGAGGGGAAGATGCAATTGAATGGAATCAAGGAATAATGGTCACATCAATAGCAGTAGAAGTAGTAACTATATATTAAAGGTTTAATATAGGTTGTAATCATTTTACAGTATTTGAAATAATTTATTACTGCACAGAATTATCTGGTGCTTTTCCATAGTTGCCTTAACTTCACTCCCCTTATTCTGTGTTGGATTTCACAGTTGCCCTGTAGTTGCCCTGAGAGGTAAACATGACTATGCCCCATTGAGATCAATCACTCACACATCAGATTCATGCACACAGGTCAAACAGGTCAACTAAGTGAAGTGTCTTGCTAAACTACACAACAACAGTATGCACTGATCAGAGCTGGGGTAGAAACAGCAACCTTTAGTTATGTGAGCAAACACTGAGCCAGTTATCAATATGGAACACCTCCATGTGTTCTTTTTGCCCCACAGTTGTTCCTGGAGGTAGGGAACCAGAGAGCCAACAGTTTTTGGGCGGCTAACCTCCCCGCTGAGGAGGAACTCTACATTGGTGCATCGGCTGAGCTGAGAGCCACCTTCGTCCGCAGGAAGTACAGAGAAAGGAAGTACTGCAGACTGGAGGAGTACGACACCATGGAGCAACTCAACCAGGTGACTAAGTGTCCATTACACTATTTTCTGATCTATGTTATAATGTTGTTTCCTCATCACATACCTAGAGTTTCCTTCACACATGTTTAACACACAAACTCTGCCTATTTAGGCCGAGTTTTTTTTTTTTTTTTCTCAAACGGAAAACACTGTTCCACCGTTTAATGTCGTGTAGTAATATAGGAAGTACTTAACTGTAACATCTGGAACAGAGTATTTTGAGCTTTGTAGATGTAGACAGACTAATAAACCAGGATTATTCAAACGTGTGTATAAAGCCAAACACAACTCCATGTTTTTGAGGAGATGAACAAAAACTCACAATAGTCAATTTTGCATAATATAGGACCATTAAATGTATTTTCCTCATTAAAGTATATATAGAACTGCACAGTTAAGGACTGGTTGTGGTTTCTGTTCTTAAGCACCTATTGATTGCTCTATATTTAATTAAGAGCTGTCACCAATAGAAAAAAAGTATCCAATTTACCACTGTCAGAAGGTGTCATGATTATACAGAAAAACAACACAAAGGCTCTACAGTCCCTGACAAAAGTCTTGTCACTTATCCATTTTGTAGAAACAAAAGTTTATAACCTGACTTTAAATTTATCGATTGGTTTTAGAAATGTCTCATATGAAAGCTAAAACCCTCCCAAATTATGCTCAATATACTAAAATTAATTTGCTTCACTGAAGAAAGATTGATCATTTAATGAACACAGAAAGGTCAGATTTTGGCAAGACAAAAGTCTTGTCGCCTACAGAAAATTGAACAAATAATTTACTTCAAATACAAAAATATGTTGCATAACGTCAGTGAATGAAGTAGTGGTGCTGTGAGATCCATATTTAATATCTTGTATGACGTCCATGAGCTTGAAGGACTGCATCCATGCGGTTCAACAATGATTCATACAATTTGTTGATGAAGTCATCAGGAATAGCAAAGAAAGCGTCTTACATGCCTCCCAGAGTTCATCAAGATTCTTTGGTTTTGCCTTCCATGCTTCCTCTTTCATTCTACCCCAGACATGCTCAACGATGTTCATGTCTGGTGACTGGGCTGGCCAGTCCTGGAGCACCTTGATCTTCTTCGCCTTGAGAAACTTTGATGTAGAGATAGAAGTATGCGATGGAGCACCATCCTGCTGCAAAATTTGACCCCTTTTATAGTTGGGAATTAAGAGGTAGCTTCTAATACTTTGTTGATATTTTAGGCTATTGATATTGCCTTCCACCCTGCAAATGTCTCGCACACCCCCATACTGGATGGAACCCCAGACCAGGATTTTTCCGCCACCAAACTTAACTGTTTTCTGGGTGAATCTTGGATCCATGCGGGCTCCAGTAGGTCTCCTGCAATATTTGCTGCAGCTGTGATGTAATTCAACCGAGGATTCATCTGAGAAATCCACCTTCTGCCACTTTTCCAGTGTCCATCCTTTTAGCAGGCTGTGGGCCTTGGTAAATGCCACGCGTTTTTTTAATTGCCTTTTGTTTAGTGCTGGTTTCTGTGCACTGATTCGACCATGGAGGCCATTTCGAGACCGAATTCTACAAACTGTTGTGGTTGCCACAGGGACTTGAGGTGACCAGGCCTGGTGGAGCTCTGCTGCAGTGGAAAAGGGGCCTTGGATTTTTTAATCAACAAACGGTCCTCCCAAGCAGTTGTCTTGCGGCGTCTGCCGGACCTGGGTTTGTTCTTTTTCTTATTCTTTGTACTTGACACTGAGACACATTGAAGGTGTCAACCACCTCAGCAGTGGATCTGGTCTTCAGCCTCTTGATAATTAAGGCTTTGGTCTCAGGGTGGATCTTAGGCATGTTGTCAGAGGTCAAGTTGCAGTTGATGTGAAGGTCTGGTGTGCTGGGGTTCTTTTTATACACACCCACTAATTGATTGATCAGTAACTGATCACAGGTGAGGCTGTAATCTAGGATTGGGTGCATCATGTGACAAGGCGACAAGACTTTTGTCTTGCCAAAATCTGACCTTTCTGTGTTCATTAAATGATCAATCTTTCTTCAGTGAAGCAAATTTATTTTAGTATATTGAGCATAATTTAGGAGGGTTTTAGCTTTCATATGAGACATTTCTAAAACCAATCGATTAATTTTAAGTCAGGTTATAAGCTTTTGTTTCTACAAAATGGATAAGTGACAAGACTTTTGTCAGGGACTGTACATAATTAGAAGATACCGTGGCTTATCTGAGAGACACAAACTTAAGCTGATCAGAACTAGATGTGATGTGATCTGTTTAGTTACCATATGTGACTGTGAGTTAGTCAGGCTTATTTGTCTGAACAAGTTTATCCAGTTGCAGATCGTGCGTTGTGTAGTTTATTTGCTCCAAGACAAAAGATTTTCTCATAATATAAAAGAAAATCTGCAATCAATCAATCTTTATTTATAGAGCCTTTTACAACACTCAAGGTGAACAAAGTGCTTCACATTAAAATCAACACAATGCAAATACAGACAAAATGTTACACAATGGCATAAAAAAAATTGTGCGAAGTGTCAAAAAAAAAAAAAAAAATCTAAAAGAAAAATCTGTGATGATCAGTGCATACAATTAGGAATGCGCAGATATTGATACTGGTATTGAATATCCAGGAAAATGTTTGGATCTGGATCAGGTATCACTTCCATGATATAGCTTCAGCCGATATTTTGGTTGCACGTTTGATTAGATGTAATGAGACTATTTACTAGGGATGTAACAATAACTGAAATATCGAGATATTGTATCATCAAAGTTCTCACAATAATATCGTGGACCATCACAGTATATCAACTTACAAGTCTCTTTGCCTAAATTAAGAGTTATGGTGCAGCATTAGCTAAAAAAAAAGACAGAGGGAACTACATAGACCATGATCCTTTGCTCCATTTCAATGACTATAACAGATAATAGAAAAAACTGTTCTAAGCACATTTAAGTCTTAGTTCTTTGGATTAAGTCTTGTCAAGACATTTTAAGAGGAAAAAGTACCGTATTTTCCGCACTATAGGGGGCTCTGGATTATAAGGTGCACTGTCATTGAATGGTCTATTTTTGAACTTTTTTCATATATAAACCACACCGGACTATAAGGCGCATTAAGCAAACACAACAGTTAGAAAAGTCAGTCAAACTTTATTTTAACGCGTTCACAATAACTCTCAACTTTGTTCATTTGTAACGCGTAAAAAAATACAATCTGAGATGCTAAATTGTTAGAGTATTCACAGTAACTCATAATTGTTCAAACAGTTGGACGATTATGGCGTCCAGCACGGCCGCATCCCTCTCATCATTATCCGAGTCAGTATTGTTACTGTTCCCTGGCAGTTCAGTGATGATTCCGGTCTTGATGAAAGCTTTGACCACAGTTGATACTGATCCTTAGCCCAGGCGTCCACGATCCATTGGCAGATCATGGTGTAAGTCGCTCGGTGCTGTCTGTCTGTCTTGGTGAATGTGTGTTCGCCTTCTCTCATCCACTGCTCCCACGCAGCTCGCAGTTTAACTTTATAATAGCCTTGAGTTTAAAGTCGGCGTTGTAAGCGTGTCTCTTGACAGGTGCATTTTGATATTAAAATCAATCACAGTATGTGTTACTCCACGATGCTCCTGATGGTAGCCGTAATGCTGTAAGTGGTGCGGCTTTGTAATTTACTAAAGTCGTACTAAGACACCCAAATAAATTCATAGCCTCCACAAAATATCACAATAAATATCATATCGCGAGATGTATATCCTGAAAATATTGTACTGAGAGATTTGGATATTGTTATATCATGAGCCTCTCCACCATATCACAATAAATATCATACCGTGAGGTTCACGATATTGTATCATTGTATCAGTTGTTCCCCTAACAGATAATGATACTGGTATTGAATATCAGAGCGGATCCAGGAAAATGTTTGGATCTGGATCAGCGCTGCCATGATATCTTTTCAGCCGATAGTTTGGTTGGACGTTTGATTAGATGCAATGAGCATCTAACTGCATCTAGCATCTAACTGACTGATGCAGGCCCAAGATGTTTCATAATGTTTTGTAGTCACTTGCAGAATAAAAACAGTTACAAAACACAATTTGATACATTTTGTAATTGGTTCACTGTGTTTTGAGAGAGAAAATTGCGTATTCAGTCCCTACACTGGTATCGGTTTATAAAGCTGGCTTGGTGCATCCCTAATAACAAAATAATTTATTAAGTACCTAAGGCTGCTGTAATATGTGATATATGTAAGTAATATATTAGTTATTAAGTTATAGCTAGCATTCACAGTAAATGTTTTAAGTTGCTCTAGGCTTTAGTTGTAGCAATTAGCCACCGTGTCTATCCGCCTCCCCTTTTCTCCTTAATTTGAGCTGCAATGTACACTCAGTTCTATCAAAATATTACAAATATAATCTCATCCCATATACAGATCACAAAATATCACCAGAAATATGATACAGCCAGCCTTACTTAAAACTGATTCATCTGTCTAACCATTACAGTTTGTCTCTTATCACAGCAAACATGCAGGCAACACAATCTTTTCTATTTCCTTTACCTGTAAAATGTAACACCAGTTCCACTTGCTACAACTTTTAATAGTGTGATGTGTGAGTGCTTTGCAAGTTCACTCCTCTTTTTGACAGCTCCATCGGTACCTGACAAACTCCATTAACTAAATCCGCTAAACCGGGGAAAGTCCAGTGGTGCTGACCTCTGTACTGTCCGCAGAGCTGCCCTGAATGCGGGGAACTGCTACAGGGAAGGCTCCATCGATCTCATGTGTAAGCAGATCAACACAGGGCCTGCTCTGTCAGTTTGTGGTTAAGGCTTTTACAACTTCACCTCACACTTCCTTTTTGGCCTGCTGTAAAAAGTAGGGATGCAACAATATCCAAATCTTAATATTTTCACAATACACATCTCACGGTATGATATTTATTGTCTTATTTGTGAAGGCTAACGAAGTACTGTTTTTTTTTTCTTTTTCTTATTCTT